ACAAATAAATGTCTTGTATAATTATGTTATTTTTGGAATCTTGCATTGCAATAACTAGGTTACGCTTTTCAATGCTAATAGCTAATACAACCTCCATCATAAAGCTTCCTTCATCTGAAATCATCAGACGATGAAATTTACTGTCCCTGTTTAGCGACGAGGAGAGGAAGCCACTTGCTATAAAATATCTGAGGTGAACTTGTTTCTTTTTGCTCATAAAGTGTAGCTCTTGCACAGACGGTTGAGAAGGTGCAGAATATTATAGTCCTTCTGTGTTTAATTGTTTCTGTATGCCCTGGAATTTAAAGAGAATTTAGGATGTGTTTGGCAGTAGCTTTCCCTCTATAATCAGGTTGCTATGGTAAACCTATTATTCTAGACAAAGAAAGGGTATGTTTAGTAAAGTGCTGATCCCTTTTCAGTATAATGTGAGCTTCAAATTACTTTTGAATGATTGAATTTCTATGGTAAGTATTTTATCACAATAACTAAGAGAAGAAGGTCACAGAATAAGGTGTGGCTTCTGTTATTTCAGTAGCAGCTACATCTGACAAAGTAGTAGTATGGCTGAAGCAAGCTTGCCCTGCAAATATCTACTCCTGGTTTTCCCAGGGAAGCAACCTGAAGTTTATTGTTACAGAATGCTATTAATTTTTGTGTTTATCTACATGATGATAAACTGAGCTTTTCAAGTTTACATTTGCTACATCCTATGTAGTTAGCTGTTCAGAAGCAAAAGGACTTTAATTCTCTGTTAAATTATCTCCACAGAGTGAGCCCACCTTACATAATCTAACCAAAATCTCAGTACTTTTGGAGGTAAAGTATCCTTTTTAAGCCAGTATGAAGTTGCAATCACTTAGTGACACCACTAAATTCACTTCTTATGTTCCTAGTGCTGATTTTGTCACATTTGTAAAAGAAGAGGAATGATGAACTAATAATTTGAGTATCCATTTCAGCAGCAGTGTACTAAACTACTATAACTGTATCTTTGAATATTTAAAAGTAAAGAAATAGCTCAGTGAATTCCTTTTCCAGAGCACTTACTGACTGAGTTTTCTGTCCATTTTCAAGACATTTTCAGTTCTTCTGAGGTCCACAGTCAGATGATCTAAATCATACCCTGAGCTTAGGTGGGAGCCAGGACAAAATAAAACACGAGGCACAGATATCAACAAGGAATTTGGGCTTTTTGAATATAGGGGTTGGTGTTTTCTTCATTAGCTAAGATGAGAAGATTGAGAAAGTAGGGCCTATATCCCTTTGTGCTTGATTTTGAGAAGGCAACCTGAGCTTGCATCTCTTACATGACAAAGATGTGCCCTGTCTGCCTAGGGATGGGATATTCCTCAGGTTTTTTGCTGGTGAAACTGTTGCACATTAATTAAAATGAATAAATATTAATTGCAGCAGGGACTGAGAGGAACCTATTCCCATTCCAGTGCAAGTGCCCAGCCACTGGGCTCTTAGGTCATTCTGAGTTATTAAATTAAGCATTACAGAAGGTAATACTTAATTACAGAACATGCAGGAGCCTCATTACAGAACCCTCCTTTGCTCATCCCTCTGGAGGATTTTCCATTTCTGCTGACTCCTCTCTTCAAAGCAACTTGCTTAAACTGATTTTATTGTCCTTCAGGCATCCTCCTTATTATAGCATTAGCTGACCAGGATACCACTGTTAAAGATGGTTCTTTTGTTTATTTTATAGAGTCTTCACAAGAGATGGGTCCTGTTCGTCAGGTACCTATCTGCCTATGGGTGACTGACTGTGCTTTGGGACACTGCGATGTGACATTTTTGTAAAAATAGCCAGCTTGTCTAAAGTGGATGCATAGAAAGAGACTGTGAGAGCCCCAGATAGTGACAAGTTGGACTCATTAAAAGTCTCTGTATATTTAAGTACTAAGAAATGATTTTGTTCCAGTTGCTAATGTAACTGTCCTTGGCAAATAATTGTAGCTTAGAGAATGCAGGCAAATAACGTCAATCATTCTGTGGACAATCATATCTTAAATGTTGACATAATTACCAAATACAACTGTATTTTGTGATGTGGTAGATGCACTTCAGGTAATAAGTTTCTTTCTGGAACAAATATCTTCATATAATTGCCAATGCAACATAGTTTTAAAACTATGTATATTATGAAGGTATCATGAAGTATTTGCTATTAATTCTCTCTATCAGCATGTCTTTTTTAAGATTCTTGCACTTTAAGTTGATCATAAAATGTCCTTCTAGGTTGAATCCTGGCACATAGAATGTCAGCTCAAAAGTGCAATGTACATTGATGCTGGGGAAGATGAAGAGTATGGCAGCTATAAAATGAGCTGGAAATTTTTCCATAAGTAATAAGATCCCCCCCTACTCCAACTTAAGTAGACTGGGGTTTTTGAAAAATCAAATGTAACAAATTTAGGTTAGAAGTTGAAAGAAAAATAGATTAACAATGACCTGGCAGTATGTTGACTTAAAAGATTTTATTGTCACAAAACCTACAGTTAGAAAAGCCCCACTAAGGTTCTCCTTAACAGTCCTTTCCCATTCAGCAAAACATTTCAGCAAATGTTGAAAAAGTATTGTGCACGCTGAACTGTTTGGTTACATAATGAAAGGCTGCACTTGGAGGATTTTTTTGCTTTGTAGCTATAGTTGCTCCTACTGTAAATTTGGGTTCTGCAGTCAGTAGAGCAGTGTCCAGGTCCAGGTTGAGTCTCACTGCTGCTATGATTAAATTAGATTGAGAGGAACAGGCTTTTCTGCATTCTAATCCATGTCTCTGGCGGTCCTTTTTTACAGACAATACCTTTTCCCAAGCCCATCAAATGTATTACTTTGATCCACAGTTTGTGTCATATTTAGACCGTTTTCACAGTAGGATTGCATTAAAACAATTTAAAAAATATGGAGGCAAACTCTTCGAAGTTAGGAAATAACAAAACCAATGTTACCTTGAACTGAGTCTGTCTCATATATGTGCAACATAAGACTGTCCTTGATCTTAGTTTTTTTCACATCTGACCATTTAATACTCACTGCTCTGAGGGCTTTGGAGTGGAATATCTGTGGGTGTTTGGCTGAGTCTATTCCCCCTTTAAGCTCTGGGGAGTTGTCCTGTGAACAGGTTGGTGGAAGGGAAGACTTTGACAGAGGTTGTGCTTTCGACTTGTGTTTCCTCAGGTCTAGACAGGAAAAATCATAGGGATTTTTGCTTTCCAAATGCCTGACAGAGTATTTGAGGAGTTATTTTTCTACATGACTAGAGAGTATCTTAGATAGCCCTGTGCATAGACTATTTAATTCTAATCACATTCATTTTGGAGTTTCTGAGGTATGTGCTAAATATTTTAGATCAATTATAGAGGTTAATTATGCAGTTAAACATGTGCCATAGCTCTGGCACATGCTCTTATGCAAAGTTGAGATATTAAAAACATACAGTGCCAATGATTGCTTATTGTTGCTGTTTCCACCAAGACATAACAGTGATATACTTTGCTTCTGGTTGCCATGGAAGAGGGCTAGTTTTGGGGTTTTTTTTTAATAATGTTTATGTGCGTAGTTTAATTAATACAGAGTGACTTGTAATTTGTCTTTGGGGGGTAGGGTGTAGAATAAGTTTGGGGTTTTATTTCCTTTATTTTACTTTATTGAAATCATGACTCCAACAATTGCTTATTCTTACAGGGAGATGTGAATGTGGCCAATGCAGTTGTTTCCCTCCAGGAGACAACAGAGTTCATGGCAAAAACTGTGAATGTGATGATCGACAGTGTGAAAATGTGGACGGCGATGTCTGTGGAGGTATGCATTTACTTAATATAATGTAATATAACTAATATAAATCTTGACAGTTTATAACTTTCTGTTCCCCCTGATTTTATAATGTAATGTCACTATAGACTAATGACATCATTGGTTAATTATAATGGATTATAGATTTTTGTAAGAAACAAGCTATATAAATATCAAATACATTAGTGAATATTTCTTTTAAAACTTCAGCAACACTAACACTGAAGTAGATTAAATACACCTAATAGCATAAATATAAGTGCTGTAGTATATCCCAAAGTCCATCAGCGATCATTAGAGAAGAAAACAGACACTTAAAGGAAAACCTGAAAAATTAGGTAATTTTACTTTGTGTTTAGTACAGTTGAGGTTTTACTGAGGATGTTGTATTTTACCTAAAGTTAATAATGACCAGCAGTACTTCTGAATATTTCATATTCACTGACAGTGATATGTCTGTTTTCTAAAAAAGTAGTAAAAATATATTATGAAAGAATCTAAAATGATTGAGATACATTGTCATAGTAATTGTACATGCAGATGGTTTATTTTAATGTTGACAGTGAAAACTTCAGTTGTTGATTTTTCAGTAATGTATGTTGGTGTTAAGCAGTATTTGAAGTTAGTTTTGGATATGTAATGCATACATACCATATGGTATTTTAAAAACAGGTGAGTAGTATTTGTCCTAAATGCTCTCTTTCTAGATTTTATTTGCTTTACTTTTATAATTACTTTTTGAGTCTTAGTGTTAACAAAGTAGTTGGTATGAACAATGGCACATTTTATTATATTCCTTATTTCTATGTAAGAAAAAAACATATTGCTTCATAATCTTTGTGTACATAAAAAAATTCCAACTACAGGAAATATTGCTTCAAGGTCTCTGCCATGCAGAATGTAGGCATGTATGGAAAATTCTAGTTTGATTGTCTAACCAGCCATAATAATAGTTTGTAACATTCAGTGTCATTCAATAATATGAATGTGTAGACAAAGAATAATTTGAAATTTAATTTTGTTTAACGGACATGAAAGCAGATAAAAGCACTGAAAAGCTGGGTCATATTTGTTATAAATTAAGTAGCTGGGAACCAAAATTCATCATCTTTCATGATTAAAAACCTCTTCTGTTTATGTCATTCGTATTTTACATTATTCGATGGCAATGCTTCAATCTTAATACTGCTAATTATATTGCGCATTTTGGAAATTATAGACAGAAATTCCATTCTTCCTTATTAGGAAGGGTACAGTGATAATTTCAATTTTTGTTGCTGGCTAGAGCACCTCACACTTAAATGAATAATCACCTCAACACTTGAGCCAGTGTCCAATTTTTTACTGCGCAGGAGATGCTCTATGTCACACTCTTACCTGAATAAACTCTCTCCTTTAGTCTAAATAGCTTTGTCCAAAGAGAATGGCAGAAATTAATTAATTAATTAAAACCCCATATGCTTTAAGCTTATTTTCCAAATTTTGAAACAACAAATAGAAAGGAAAGCCAACTCATGAACTTTTGAATCAGTTGTAGTCTCAAGCAAGCTCAACTTCTCCACTTTGATTCAAGCTAATAATTTAGTTACTAATGATTCTCTGCAGGTGAAAGGAATTATATGGGAAAATGCAATTCAAGTGACTGTGCCCTGTTTGAAATTGCACTGCACAGCATCTGTTGACAAGGCCCACCCTGTGATTTTTGCTGTTCCAGGGAGCTGAGCTTATTCCTAATTCTTTCCCCAAAATCGTAGAATAAGTGCCAAAACAGGAATCCTGTTATCCTGGGCTTTCTTGTAAGTGAAGGGAGAGAAGGAAACATGGCATAAGGTGATGATTAAATCCACCAAGATCTGAGCTGACCTCTGAAGTGCCTCTAGGGAGTCTAGAGCATCTTTGCTCACTCACAGCTGTTTTGAAGCTGGTCTCTAGAGTTTTAGTCTTCCCAATTAGAAGTCATACCACTACTAATACTGTCCTCTAAAAATTGTTGGATTTCTGTAGTAGATCTGTTGGGATTTCAGTGGTAAAAAATTGACAGATTTTTTTTTTTCATATTCTTGATATTTTATTTCTTGTTCTGTCTATTATATTTCTAAATATAATTTGAGATATTTTTATACTATTCTAGATTTGGTTGTAATCTACTCCTTGAAGCGTGTTCCTATATTATTATTATTATTGCACGATCCCATCTGCTTTCATTCTTTTACAGCCAAGAACTGGTTTCCCCTTCCTTTCTTTCTGTTCTCATGCCACACAAGTGTTTCTTTGTTTGCACTTGCCTGGTTCTTCCATGTGAAGTGTGCTGAGATTCAAATTAACAAACAGAGATATCTTACTAATCACTCAGTTCTCTTCCATACACCACTTTTCCTTCTCTTGGCTGCTGGAGCTCTCGAGTGACTCCTTCCCTCATTTCCCCTCTCTCTCCCTCTCTTTCCTTCCTTTTTTGTTTTTCTTCTTTTTTTTTTTCTTTTTTTACTTCTGGCAGATCCTGAAACCTTATTTTCTTTGACCATCCAGTGGCCATCTGTGCTTCTGATCCACCTGCCTCAAGAGGCCACCACCCACCCCAATAACTTAAGGCAGCACCTGTTTAGGTGTAAGTACTAAGTACAGGAATGTTTATCTTCAGAAAGTCCCCATCAGTTGCAGCTTTCTGTCCACTCATCATCTAGCAAGTGAATTCCTCTCACCTTCCCTCACCTTCAAACTCATAATATGAGCCATTTACCCCTTATGCATTTTCTGTGACTTTATCTTTCACTGTGGCTTCCACCAACATTTTCATTGAAATGTCTCTTCCCACAGTTTCTGACTAAATGTAGGAATTTCTGTCACTCTTATCCTTTTCAGATATTCAGTAGCCTCTGGTGTTACTGATAGCTTCAGCCCTACTCTTTACTAATTGTCTGATGTTTTGCTTGGCTATCACTTTCTATCCTGACAACATTTTGAGTGTTTCCTTTGATAGACAGTATTTCTCATTATCTCCCTTTTTAGGAGATTCTACCAATTTTAACCTTTTTTTCTTTCCCCTTTGCAACTTATCTATTCACAGAACTTCTCTCATTAATTTTGCGCTAGTGGCAGACACATCTCTCTTCCTTTTGGGTTTGTCCATGCTTCCATCTCAGCCTGAACCTCTTGACGCCTCTTGCTGAACTGCTTATTCCTTCCACTTTCCTTCTCCTCTTTTCATTACTATTTTTCTACCGTTGTTGCTACCTAGGCAATCATTGTCAGGACATAAGCCCTTGCTAGTAACTCTGGCTTCAGAGAATTGTAAGCTGGACTCTGTGAATGTGCAGGGTCTGACAGTGAGCACTGAGTGCCTGTAAAGCACAAGGAAGGAAGACCAGTGTTTTCAGATTAAATGCATGCTGAAATGAGAAATGTGAATGACAACCTAAATGATTTGAATAAGAATTGTTACTGGCCTCCTCTGACCAGCAGAGATTGATTAATAGCTTGCTTTCCAGACCAGCTGTCCGTGCAATGGTAGAAAGACATGAGGCGAAAGATATGATAAATTAGGGTACAACTGAGTGAGACCCTATTACCATGTTTCTGCATGATTGTAGTGAGTCATTCACTTAAAAATTCAGCTGTCCATCATTGCAGTACCAGGAATAGAGACATTACGTCTCCACAAAGACAAAGGTTGCAGGAGGACTCGGCATAGATTCTGCAGCAGTCTGCTATTAGAAATGGATTCATAGAATCATAGAATCATAGAATGGTTTGAGTTGGAAGGGACCTTTAAAGATCATCTAGTTGCAACCCCCCTGTCATGGGAAGGGACATTTTGCACTAGATCAGGTTGCTCAAAGCCCCATTCAACCAGACTTTGAATACTTTCAATGATGGAGCCTCCACAAATTCTCTGGGCAGCCTGTTCCAGTGTCTCAACACCCTCATAATACACAATTTCTCCCTGATGTCCAATCTAAACCTACCCTCTTTCAGTTTAAAGCCATTGCGCCTTGTCCTGTCACTACAGGCCTTGGAGAAAAGTCTTTCTCCATCTTTCTTATAAGCCCCCTTTAAATATTGAACGATAGCAATAAGGTCTCCCTGGAGCCTTCTCTTCTCCAGCCTGAACAACCCCAACTCTCTCAGCCTTTCTTCACAGGAGAGGTGTTCCAGCCCTCTGACCATTTTTGTGGCCCTTCTCTGGGCCCGCTCTAACAGGTCCATGTCTTTCTTGTACTGGGTATCCCAGAACTGGATGCAATACTCTAGGTTGGGTCTCATGAGAGTGGAGTGAGGGGGAGAACCACCTCCCTTGACCTGCTTGCCAGGTCCTTCCTTCATCTTCCCCTTCTTTTGTCTGTGCCTCTGCACAGAGACTTAATATGCTATGGCTGGAGGAGGTTGTCTCATGCAGCCTTTTTGAGATTGGTATGTTCTACCTAAAGGCCCATTCCCTACAGTTTAGTTTTTATCAACGATGTAAGATTTGCCCAGGTGTATTGCAGTGTTGATCCACAGCAATATTTAACATCATGGTTTTTTTGGCTTTACTTGGTTCTTCGAGTCTTTCATGTGCAAGTTAAGTTTTTTTGGTGCACACAAATGACTAGAGAATCACAGGTTTGCCAGCCCAAGTTCTTTTTTGGCACGGTTATGTCACTGATGTACACCAGGCTTGATATTTACTTATCTTATATCCTGGTGAGAGATACTTCTCTCTCTTTCCTCTGAGGTTATAGCTGTGCTGCTAGCTGCAGATGTGTCCTGAGCTTTCAAGTGTTATTTGTCCCCCTACTGTGTCCAGTCATGTTTTTCAGTTGATGTCATCGTTGGCTGCTCCACCTCACTGGGTTGGCTGTTGTCCATTACGTTCTGTTCTCTTTCAGAACTGAGGGCAGGCAGGCAACAAGAATTCAGGACAACAGTAAAGATCAATTTGAAATTGATTTGATAATGCTCTTAACTCCATTCATTTTGATTTGTTCTCTGGACCATTATTGGCCTAGCTGTGAGTTCTTGTCACAGTGTTG